AAGAGTTATATTAAAAAGACTCAACGACGAATCGGAAGCACTACAAGTTCAGTTCAACTACAAGTTCTACGTTTTACTGAATTTACAACAAAAGGCTATAACGAAAAAATGTATACGGCAACAGCATTTCTGGACGTCAGTGAAGCATTTGACAGGGTCTGGCATGAAGGACTCATTTACAAAATGAACTCTATGGGATACAGCGAGGCGATGACATGCCTCCTTGGATCATACCTAGCCAACAGAAGGTTCAGGGTTCGAACGGGGGCAACTCTGTCCGAAGTCGGGACCCTGGAAGCAGGTGTGCCTCAGGGAGCTGTTCTGTCGCCTTACCTGTATACCATCTATACGGCCGACACGCCAAAAGAACCAGGTTCCCTGTTGAGTCTTTACGCCGACGACACAGCAATAGCTGTTAGCTGGAGAAATCCAGATCATTCAGCTAATCATCTGCAGAGAGCACTTAATAGATTCGAAAGATGGTGCATCAAATGGAAAATAGCCTTAAACCCGGATAAAACACAGGCTGTAATGTTTAGTCACAGAAGAAGTGTACCGAACCGAGAACTAACGATTGGGAACACCCCAGTAGAATGGACAAACGAGGCCAAATACCTAGGAGTGTTACTAGACAAAAAACTCACATTTACGCAGCACATAAATCAGCAAACGTATAGAGCCAAAGCGCTGAAAAATCAGCTCTCAACGCTTATTGGTAGAAGTAAGCTAAGGTTTAAAACCAAAATCAGGATTGAGAATAGTATTATCCTGCCAGTCCTTTCGTATGCCTCTGCTGCGTGGGGACACACCTGTAAAACAAACAGGAAAAAAATACAAACAGCACAAAATCAACTAATAAGAGATGCCCTGAACTTACCGAGATATGTACCTCTGAGAAATTTATACAGAGACTCAGGACAAACACGGATCCTTCACACAATGGACAAAAAAACATACGAACTATTCAACGGACTAAACAACCACCCAAGCAGCATGTTAAGAGAGCTGACTAACTACAACGCAAATACCAGGACGGTACACAGAAGACCTAAACAGCAAATAGCCGGATATAGGGTCCCCAAAGAATAAATGAAGAATGAGATGGTCGGAAAGACGTCAAATAAAAGAATGCAGTCATCAGAAAAACAACCACCAAAAAAATATCTATTTTTAGGACTCTGGCGAGAGGATACAGGTGCCAAGGCACTTAGTTAAGGACAATATACATCGGGGTGTGTGGAGGCCATATACACCCTGCAATGCACACCCCAACACACCCACACAAATTAGCATGTAAGAATTGTTTTTGTTTTAAATTCAGAACTTCAAAAATCAATTTCAATTCATTAAACGTTTTAACGTAAAATTCATCCTATTTTTCTATATAGAAGGCCCGTCAAGCCTTCTATATACCGCTGATGCCGACGGAACACACGCTCTTTTTCTTTTTTAGGGACTCCAGTCCCGAAGTGAAGTTAGAGTAAAATCTATAGAGTCAGTAAAGTAAATAGGGAGAAAAGCCTAGATGTGGCTACCCCTACAGTCAGGTGGCATAACCACAGTAATTAAAAACAGGAGGTGTCTCATTACCCAGGGCACCTCAAGTAACTTTCAGATCATAAGCCTCCTCACGTAAGTCACACGATGAGGAGGAGTGGTGGAAAAGCCTGGGGGTCAGATAGGTACCACTTCAACTAGTGAAGTGTGACCGGTTTGATCTTCGGACATGTGGATCCCATACTTAGTTTGGTATACACATGTTCCTAGGGGTAGGGTTGATCGCTTAGCGTGATTGATTGTAACCAGTATTAAAATGATAAATGCACAATGGGACGCAAATGTGTTATGATCAAGAAAAAGATCTGTGCAGAAGAATAGTTCGTGTAGCAGAGATCGGATATCCGTTGGCAGGTAGAGTTTTACGCCGGAGTGTATTTAATTTTTGTGAATTAAATAATATAAAAATCTTTTTTCAGTGGAAAAAAGATGACAGGACGTTATTGGCTCAAAGGGTTTCTTAAAAGGAACCCAGAAACAGATATCGAAAAGCACAGAATATGAATCCTGGTGGATCTCAAAAATTAAACAAATTCATCATCAAGGACTAATTTCATAATTTTCAAAAAATACCCACTGATGAGAGTCTTATGGATAAACTCCAAAGTATATATAAAATGGACGAAAACGGATGTTGGCTGACGTTGCATCACCAACAAAACAGTTTTAGCAAAGAAAGGAGTGAAAAGAGTACACGTAGTAGCAAATAAACATGCACATAATGTTACAATAGTATCTTGTGGTAATGCAAAAGATGCCGCCATTCCTCCAGTAATTTTGTTCAAAGGTATACGACTCAAACCCGAATGGACAGATTTATTACTTGCAGGCGGGACTGCTATGACACCCAAAGGCAGCATGACCGTTGAGACATTAAAAAATTAGCTATTTTGCGAAATACCGAACAGCTGGTCGTTGTCTATTGATTTTTGATAATGCTTCTTTTCACCTGGATTACTTTATTGTTGAGGTTGCAGATTAGCTCGGAATTATCCTAAATTGTTTACCAAATAACACTACGCATGAACTTCAGTTAATGGACTTTTTTTGTAAGAACGACAACTGGTTTTGCAACACTTGTAAAGAGGATAGAGTAGCTGACATGCGATTATTTGGTTTTGTTACTTACATGAGAAGTGCGTTTGACTTACAAACGAAGATAAAATCCAACCTTACATTTGTCCAAATTGTGCATGAATATTATTTTTGGCAAAATAAATCTATTTTTTCAAAGTTATTATTGCATCCGAAATTCATTGGTGATATTACCAACCGAAGGTAATCAACAAATATCGCCAACTGACAGTGTTTCGTAAACTGTTTTGCAACTTACACAAAAATGAGTAGTTATTATTTTCATAATTTATAACTACTCTTACTTCAATATCAATCTAAAAAATTCTCAACCTTAACCTAGCGATATTTATCTTCACCTACCTTATTTCATAAAGTTAGTAAATCATACAAAATTTTTTGAAAAAAGATTGTGTATAACGAATTAATGACTATTTATTGCAAATTGGGTCATGCGGATGTTATGATTTTTATATGCTACCTCCAATAAAGAAAAAAACATTGCAAAGAGAGATATTACAAATTTTTTGAAGACGCGTATTTGAAGTCTTGCGTTTAACTTTTGAAAGCTTGTCGATGTGATTGCGAAATCATTATTTTTTAAAATATTCTTCAATTTTTACTATGTGTATAAATGGCGTCGTTAAATGGTAGGCTTGATAGATGTACTCATGTAGTTTTAAATTTTAATACCTATTGCAAAATAAACAAAAAATGATTTTTTAAAGTTTTAAATCTCGGCAAAAAATGGTTCCCAAAAAACATGTTTAAATGTGTCAAAAATTGTCAGACATACAAATATCGAAACGATATTTCAAAATTTTTAATCCCTGCGATGTTATTAAAATAAAAAGGTAAAAACAAATTAGAACAATTTTTAAAGGCCATTTGGGAGGGGTAGTAACATTAGTAAACAAAATAAAAATTTTATAAACCATTGAATATTTTTCAAACAATTTTTTTTGCTTTATATTAGTCATATAAAGCAACTTTTTCTACAAAATCAAATATTTATAGTGCTTATTAATAGCAAATAATAATCTTTTGCAAATTTGTTTTTCAAGCTTTATTTATAATTATTTAAATGCATTAACTGTCAAATTTAATTTAGAAAGTTTTAAATAAAAACCTTTCCCTTTAACTTTGCAGAAAAAATCGTATAAACCTCGTTTAAAACATGAATGACCGCAGCAGTTAAAAAAGTAAATTGTGTGCAAAAATGACCTATTTTTGCACACAAACTTTTTTTGCACTTAAACTTTGATATAAAATTTGTTCCAACCTGTACCGAATAACATTTTGATTTACGTGTATTGTAATTTTATTTGATCAGACTAACATTGCTCTGATATTCATTATTGTTTTGTCTGTCTGATTTTGTTCCACACTTTACAAAGCATTGTTTTTACTAAAATTGTATCATTTTATTTAGTGGTTCTGTTGTCATCCATACTTTCTTCGCTTCCCTTTTAACAACTTTTTCTCCTCTTTAACGGTTATTTTTACCATTTTATATAGTTTTTTAGTCTTTGTTACTGTTCGGTTTATTTTCTTGTATGTTCGTTTCTATCTTCTTCACTTTATATCATTTATTTTTATATCATTTATTTTATTTAAGGATTACATTAAAAATTATTTTGAAATCGTTGTTTGATTAATTAATAATCAATTTCCGTACTGTATGTTGAGTCGTCTATTGTGGCAGTTACACTGTATATAAAATTATTATTTCATTTTAATTACGATCGGTAAGCCATCACTTCCTAATTTCATTAAAGGGATAAAAAGGTCAAAAACTCTTCATTTTTAATGTCAAACGCAGTTCTATTATGTTAGCGAGATAACACCATTAATAAGTATTAAATATAAACGTAAGTCTAATAATGCCTCGTTTGAAAAATCTCTTAATACTATTCAACTAATAATTATCCCACCTCAAAATTAAGGAAAACTTGCAATAGCTGATAAATGAAATATAAACTGAAGTTTTGTGGAATTACCAAAAATTTCCGTATGCAAATAATCAAGACTATTATTTCCAAAAATAAGTATAATTAGCGTGTTATAATTTTAATATCTAAGAATATATGTTTTCGCAATTAACCACTAATGTTCAAATATTTATAAAATAGTTTTAAAATAACTTTTAAAAAAATTAATGTCATTTCAGGTAAAATTAAAAAAAGGTTTAACAATATAAGAAACCTATGTACTTACTGTTAGTTAAGTGCTTTATGTTCATGTAATATTGGAAAATTGTTTATAAATTGAGAATAAGAAGATAAAAATGAAAACGAAATAAATATTATCTTTTATTAACAGTACCATATCAATTTTTGTATTGATATTTAAATTTCTTTATAACCTACCTAACGGCAGCACAATAATGCAAGCTCTCAATGGGAAAAAACCTTGTTATTTTCTTATGATTTTCATCCACGTTTTCTAATAAAATTCCATTCGACCACACGCTTAACCAAGAATCGATACCCTTGGCTCCGGTCGCTCCTTGATCAGGATAAAGCTCCTGTAGCGGTTCTTGAATTCCTTGTAAACCATCCTTGGTTTGTTGTGGAACGCTGGAACCAAGGTAAAGAACTCGACATCGACAGATTGGAGTTGACTCAGACATATTGAAAATATGTAGATCGAAGAATATTGGAAAGTCGGTGTAAGTTAGACTGGATTTGGGCACAAGGATATCATTTTAGGGTAGTAATAACACCTGAAACAAAATTTAATATTAATAGTAAAATATACGTTTTTATATTCTTATCTTTTCTGTTTAAAATTAATTTGGTATAAAAAGAAAATCCTTGAATTTGCACGGATGTAGATCTTTAAAAATTGTAAAATAAATATGAAAAAACCACCACTTAATTAAAAAGAAGATATTAATAACAAAAAATTTATTTCAAATCCCTTATAAAAGGTATACAATAAAATGCCCAAACGGGCTATCACAATACATTACAAAACGTTTTCGGATTAGTGTAAACCTGAAAGTAAATAACCACTCTAATTAAAAAGAACCTTGAATTTAAAATGTTGACTAAGGTTAAAGCAAATGTGGTTAATACTTACGAGGTATACATGCTATGAGCCACCAAAATATATGGGTCAAAACCCTTTAAATGTTATAAATTTACAGTTGTTACATTATATATGGTTACAGAGTAGCATGTTTAAGTTACCGTTGGAATTGGTAACATGGCGACGTATGACCCTACATAGGTAAAATAGTCCTGAGACGAAGTGTCTTTGAGGACATGTTGATAACAACTGATCAAAATGACATTGTTGACATGTTAGAACGGATGTTGTGTCAGACCAGTCAGTGTAACTTACGATAGTTGTCTAAAAATGACAGATGCCAGCATTATTTAAAATTGAAAAAAAATTAAAATTATAATAATGTAACAGTATCAACCACCAATGTTGAAAATGGTAAAAAAGCACATGTAGGAAGATGGGTCCTATAAGATTTATTAATAAGGAGTGATGTAGTAAAAGGTGTGTTTAGATCTGTTGTTGAGCTGAAATTTAAATATAACAAAAATATGATTGTAATGTGATGTTCATGTAGTACTTAACTTAAAACTTAAGCATGGAAGGCCCTCTATGTAAAAAAAAAACAACATTTGGCACCTGGTAAAAATAAAAGATTTTTCAAGTTATAAGTACATGAACATGAATTACTGGTTATGTGTGAAAAATAAAGATGGTAGGTTGTTTTTGTGTGTGGACAAGTATGCCAGAACAATAGAAGATTGATGGCTGAAAGGTGGTTTGAGATGGTATTGTTCATACATTGCTGAAGTTATAACTCAAGAAAAACAAAAAGGCCCTATACGTTAAAAGGAACATTTGATGCCTGAGAAATATAAAAATAAAAAAGGATGAGTTATAAGTTTGGGTTTAGGTAGGTATGTGAATTTAATAGACTTTTGTGGTGTATTGTGAGAATATGTGAAACTGTAAGAGTAGTTGTGTTTAAGGTGGATCTGTCAAATTTACTAAACATGTGTGATGTTTAATTGTTATTGTGAAGAGAAAAGGGAGAAAGACTACAAGAGGCTGAAGACCCCAGAGACCCGAAAACCAAACCCTGAGGGAAAGTGGATGGGTAAAACGAGTTGTAATAAAAAGAAAAACGCAGTAAGAAAAGGTGAGGATATGTGGTTGAGTAGGTGAAGGTGTATGTTAATGAAAAATTGTTTTTGGAGAGGAAGTGGAATAGTCTGCTCTGAATTTATTTTGTTAAAAAGGAGCATGGAGAATATTGGGTATTGGGTTAGATTTGACGTTTGCATGCCTAGACAGAAGTGAGGAGAGAAGAGGAGTTGGATATATTGAACAAAGTTTGAGAGGGCTAAGGACGATTAGTAGGTGATAAGAGAAGGGCGAAAATTTAAATACTAATGAAGAAGTACAGTTGGAAAGTGGGTTATGAGAATAGTTCACGGTGGAGCGAAAGAAAATCTCGATTGAATGAGACATGGCGATTGACACAATTTGGACTTTTCTGTTTTTCTTTAATGATTTCTAGGTCTTCATATAGGTCTAGTTTGAGAAAGTTTTTTTTGTGGGATATTATGAATAAGTGAGACATCTTCTGTGATATTGAGAGTGTGGTTGTGTTCTTTAAGATGTTGAGAGAAAGTGGAAGTATTTTCTCTTTTTATGTGCTCTAAAGAGCGTGAAGACAATGATCTACATGTTCTTCCTATGTAGGTGGCATCACAATCAGAACATTTTAATCTATAAACACCACTACGGTTCATATAATTGATGGGGTCTTTGGAATTGGATATATACTGACCCAAGTTATTAGGTACTTTAAAAGAAACATGAATATTTTCAACCGAACGTTTGATTAGATTTCTAATATCTCCAGAAAGACTCTCATGATGAAAAGGAAGTGAGACGTAATTGGGTTTGGTGGTAGGATCCCCGGGGAACGCAGCCTCACCTTCACCTACTCAACCACATATCTTCACCTTTTCTTACTACGTTTTTCTTTTTATTACAACTCCTTTTACCCATCCACTTTCCCTCAGGGTTTGGTTTTCGGGTCTCTGGAGTCTTCAGCCTCTTGTAGTCTTTCTCCCTTTTCTCTTCACAATAACAATTAAACATCACACATCTTTAGTAAATTTGACAGATCCACCTTAAACACATTTACTCTTACAGTTTCACATATTCTCACAATACACCCTAAAAGCCTATTAAATTCACGTACCTACCTAAACTCAAACTTATAACTCATCCTTTTTTATTTTTATATTTCTAAGGTACCAAATGTTCCTTTCAACATATAGGGCCTTTTTGTTTTTCTTGAGTTATAACTTGAGCAATGTATGAACAATACCATACCAAACCACCTTTCAGTCATCAATCTTCTGTTGTTCTGGCATACTTGTCCACACACAAAAACAACCTACCATCTTTATTTTTCACACATAACCAGTAATTCATGTTCATGTACTTGTAACTTAAAAAATCTTTTATTTTTACCAGGTACCAATTGTTGTTTTTTTGACATAGAGGGCCTTCCATGCTTAAGCTTTAAGTTAAGTACTACATGAACATCACATTACAATCATATTCTTGTCATATTTAAATTTCAGCTCAACAACTGATCTAAACACACCTTTTACTACATCACTCCTCATTAATAAATCTTATAGGGCCCATCTTCCTACATGTGCTTTTTTACCATTTTCTAGATACCAAATGTTACACTACATACAGGGTCTTTCGATAAAATCTTCAGCTTAGAATAAATAAATCCATACACATGTATAGTTGGTTGCCTATTGATCCCACAAAATTTCATAAACTTCAGTTTACCCTCATTAAATTTAAAAAAACAATTTTTTCAATGTTTCCAATATAGCATGATTAATTCACATTACAGACTACAACATTGATGGTTGATACTGTTACATTATTATAATTTTAATTTTTTTTCAATTTTAAATAATGCTGGCATCTGTCATTTTTAGACAACTACCGTAAGTTACACTGACTGCTCTGACACAACATCCGTTCTAACATGTCAACAATGTTATTTTGATCAGTTGTTATCAACAGGTCCTCGAAGACACTTCGTCTCAGGACCATTTTACCTATGTAAGGTCATACGTCGCCATGTTACCAATTCCAACGGCAACTTAAACATCCTAATCTGTAACCATATATACTGTAAAACAACTGTAAATTTATAACATTTAAAGGGTTTTGACCCATATATTTTGGTGGCTCATAGCATGTATACCTCGTAAGTATTAACCACATTTGCTTTAACCTTAGTCAACATTTTAAATTCAACGTTCTTTTTAATTAAAGTGGTTATTTCCTTTCAGGTTTACACTGATGATCGATTTAACAATCCGAAAACGTTTCGTAATGTAATTGTGATAGCCCGTTTGGGCATTTTATTATATACCTTTTATAACGGATTTGAAATAAATTTTTTGTGATATATGGTATACAGCCAGCTACAGGAACTTAATTTCCTAGTGGATTTTTATATTAATAACATTCAAGTAATATTTAAGATCAATTCCTCAGTTAAATGTATTGCATTTTAAATTTTCTGCAACATTAAATTGAGCAAGTACTTCATATAACAATCGCTGGATAGATATAACTTAAGAAAAATTCTAACTTACTAAATTAAAAACTTACATCACTGCTGACGATTTGAAAACCATTGATAAATTATTTATATTTAACTTTTGGTAACATATTGTCACCAGGTTGTTTCAAACAAGAAATAAAATTTTAAAAAAATGGTTTTGCAGTGCATTGTCGTAGACTGAATTAACACTTTAAAAGATGGAATGGAAAAAAAATTAAGAAGGTTTGACTATGCGAGTGGTAGCAAACTCAGGCTCATAGCCCTAGACCAACATGGCATAGATGATAATATTTACTTGTCACCTAATAATACATGCCATTTAGTATAACATTAGAATTTAGACAACGAGACTCCTTACCGCCGTTGATATTCCATTTGGTCTTGGAATATGCAATAAGTAAAACGTCTGATCTGACAGGGGGATTTGCGAATCAAGAATCAAAACTATTATTGGCCTTAGCTGATGATCTAGATGCAGTCGCTCATTCTACAAGAGATGTAAGAGGAGTTTTCACAACTTGAGGAGGAAACAGGTACTTAGTATGGGCCTTCGAATAAATGAAGAGAATAAGAAATCCGTGGTAGTAACCAAAAATCCAAGACCAAGAGTTGTGCATAACATAGCTACTAATGACCATAACTTCAACGTAGAAAAAGATTTTAAATATCTGGGGGTGGTAATCACGGATGACAACCACATAGAAAAAAAGTCTCAGCAAGGTTAGCTGCGGGGAATAGAGCATTATACTCCCTATAGTATTAGCAGAATGGCATAAAGAAAGTGTAAAAACAGTCCTGATATATTTTGTTAGGTGTGAGGTGATATAACGACAGTAAAGCATCAACGAAACATAACAGAATTTATCAACAAAGTTTATCCCGCTTACTTCGGTGTAAAACTTCGGTGATCGGGATAAACCTTCGGCTCCATACAAAGTGTGCTTTCAGTGTGTCAAGGTACTGAGAAAATATACACAAGGTACATGTAGCTCTTTACCCTTCAGAATTCCTGGTATAGAGGGAAACAATAAACTAGGAATACGACTGCTACTTTTGCTCCTGTGATATCAAGGGTTTCAATTCGAAAAATAAACATA